GAATGTTTTTATTCATTTTGGGTCAGGGTGCGGGGAATCGTTCAGCACAAGAGCGATTTTAACGCTCTGGTGAGACTGTGAGTATATATTTTAATTATGTTTTAGAAATTGTATGTCGTATGAGCATCGATATTATACAGCCTCCAGATCTAGAGTTTAATGACATACCAATAGAGATACTGACGGATCGTAGATATATGCCACATTTTAAGGTAAAATCATACTTTTAATATGCTTCATTCCCTACTAAAAGCATACTTTTTATATGCTTCATTCCCTATTAAAATTATGTTTATTTATACATTAAAAATTCTTCTTTTTAGAATTGTATTGGTGCGATAGATGGCGTACATGTTCAAGCTACAATACCACCAGAAGATCAGGTGCCATTTATCGGACGAAAGCGTGTGCCAACCCAAAATGTGATGGCTGCTTGTGATTTCAGTATGAAATTTATATATGCATATGCAGGTTGGGAAGGTAGTGCCCATGATACAAGAATATTCTTATCAGCACTACGTAACCGACATTTGAAATTTCCAAAACCACCTGAAGGTTAAAACATTGCCTATATTTTATATTATATATGTTTTACATTTTACTAATTCTTGTGTTTTTATTTTAATAGGTAAATATTATTTGGTTGATGCGGGCTATCCACAATTGAAAGGATTTCTTGGACCTTATAAAGGAGAACGATACCATTTACCACAATTTCGAATGGGTCGTCGACCAATGGGCAGTAAAGAGGTATTCAACCAAGCACATTCTTCTCTTCGAAGTGTCATTGAACGCACTTTTGGTGTTTGGAAGAAAAAATGGAAAATTTTGAGAGACATGCCTAATTATTCATTTAAGAAGCAAGTAAAAATAGTTATTGCAATAATGGCGCTTCATAATTATATTAGGATGCATGATCTGATCGACATTTTCAAGAAATGGAGGCTAATCTAGATGTTTTCGCTTATGAAGAGCATCAACTGGAGGATAATGTAGAAGAAGATGAAGCTTCACCATCACAAGAAATGGTTGAAGTACGAGATCAGATTGCAACAAAGTTTAATGAACACGACTTAATTCTTTTGATGGCTCTGTCACTTTTTGAACATGGAATGTACTTTTTTGTTCACAAATTGATTACTCACTAATACTCCTTGTACTGAGTAATCAATTTGTATACTTTTGTATAACGAAACAATTTATAATGATTTAGAAATCGTATACTTTTTTCTTTTTGTAATATACTTTATTATTACTTTATTATTACTATCTTTGTGTGAATTATAATTAATTATCATGAAAAAAAAGAATTAATTATCATAAATTTATTGTTAAAAAAAGTAAAATCATAGCATTATGTTTTTTTAAAGTTAAATAAATATTTCTAAATATTAAAAACAATTATATATATTTAACTTTCATACCATGTCTATTTTGGTCATTTTACATACCCACAGCAATTCTACATCAAAATTTACCAAACGCTATTACACTGATTTTAGAACCAGCACAGCTACTATAATTACAATTTACCAAACACTCAGCGGATTCTTGTAACAGCAGCTTCTTCCTTCAGCACAGCTAAAAGCAATTAATCTAAAATCCGCAGCAATACCAAACTAAGCCTTAGACACATTATCAGTGTTAAATTCAGAAGTTATGCGTCCTAAAACTAATACAAAATTAAAATTGAGGAACTAATAAATCAAAATTAGAAGTTCATGAACTAAAATATCTATATTCAAAATTAAAGGACTAATTATTCTAATTTAAAAGACAAATCATACCGAAGAAGCTTCCAAATTTATTCGGAAGATTACGGTAAAAAGTAAAAATAAAAAAGACGATTTTGATTAAAGCTAAAGTTGACAAAAAAAAAAAAAAAAGAAGTTGACATCAATAGGTTGTAGGTAGGTCAATATGACCAACTTACTTTCAGGCCAACCTTCGTTATAATTAATGCAAACTGCCATGCACCAATGCTTTGAAAGTTTCTAAGGTACACAGTGCACAGTAAAAATAACAAAAAAAAAAATTAAAAAAGAAGGAAAAATGTGTTGTTTTATTGTCTAAAGTCCAAACTGAAGATTTGAATTTGTACGTTCAAACTCGAGCTTAAAAAGTTTAACAAAGAATTTTAAATTTTGAAATTTATCGTATTCTATTACAGAGAAAGCTAAAGCATGAATTATTTAGGAGTCTTTTGGTTCATAAATTAGAACCATGTGATTATAACCATTTTCAATTTACGTGTATTTTTTGTGAGAGAAAATATTGTAGCGAACCACGAACCATGATTCAAATCAGGGAACGAATCTAGGTACCAAACATCCCCTTAAGGACCAAATGAATTATTTAAGGATTAAGGTTTATTTTGTCGCGTTATAAGTCTCTCAGTTCAAGAAAAAATAAGATCATATTCTTTTTACAACTCAAATTATAACTCAATTTTTATTGTTATAGTGTTTTTCTTCACAAAAATTTAAATTCAATTATTTTATTATAGTATTTTTCTTTCACATACACAAACTTGAGTTATAAAATAAATATAGCATAAATTTTTTTAGAGCCCTTTTTTGAATTTATTATTTTTTTAACACACTATAAGATTCTTCAACGGCACCCTATATCATATGGTTTCATAACAACATTGATTGCAACTGCTCGATCTTTAAACCAGACAATGATAATTAGCATATTATTTAGACACACTCTTCTAATTTAAACAGTTAGGTTAGTTAGAATTTCCCTTAATAATATGCGTGCATTCTTCTATATATCGAATAAATTTATGAGCATTAGCAACAAAAAAAAAAGAAAAAAGAAAATTTAACAAAAAAATTATGAGCACACATCCATGAGGCCTTTTGAATTCGTTCATTCATTGTGCATTGGATGTTTTATCTTTTTTTTTCCTTTTTTTTTGTTTTTGTTTTATGATATCTTCTTTAGAGTTAAACAAGTAGGTCTTTATTCTGCCGTCCATTTATTTGGTAAAGGCATTAAAAAAAACTCAAATAAAGTATAGTTTTTGTTTGTTTGTTATGATTTGATAAACATTAAAAAATAATAGTAATCATAAAATGACATTTACAAATAACCTATTATTTTTCAATTCTTATGAGAAAATCCATCCATTTTATTAGGAGTTTTTTTAATAATTCGTCTTATTAGTAGTTTCAATTTTAACGATTAAAATTAATTAAAATTATATTAAATTAAAAAAATATACATAACAGAAAAAATTAAATACATATTTAATAGTTAAAAAATAAAAAATTATCTTTAATCATTTTTTTACAAATTAGACTATTAAAAAAAGTTTTCCTTTTATTTCAATTTAATTTTTAAAGGGAATAGGAAAACTATTCCCAGTCTGACCATAAAACATGAAAACAGATATATTTATTCTTTTTTTTTTTTTTTTAACCCAATTGATGTAATCCAAATACAAAGTGAAAAACACATGCCACGCCAGGAGATGATTGAGGGATACACCTCGATAGTCGTGCTAAAAAAGACCATCTTGCCCCTGAAGTTGATAGTCCACTTTCGCCACAAATCCGAATTCCAATTGGCCAAGCTTCAACTTAGATATATATTAGTTCCACCAGATCACAACCCCACTTCCGTAGTTAAAACTTAAAAGCAGCAGTCGCTTGAAGTTTCCGACGTCTCAGATTGGAACCCACGAACGAAACAAGCCAACTTGCAAAAACAGGACATTTTTCCCAAGCTTTTAAAAGTCTTCTTTTCTTTCTATTGGAAATTTCCGTTTCTTTATTTCTTAGCTAATACTAAATACCTTATTCTATTCTATTCTGTTTTATTTTTTTTTTATTTTTTTTTTCTCTCCAAAGTCGGTCAACCTTATAATCCACACCATTGATCTCAACAAAGAAGAAGACTTTCAATTCGTTAACAAATCTTGATCTTTTTTGCTTGTGCCAAACTTCAACTTGAACAAGTTCTGATGCTTCAATCTCAGCTTGGAGGCTCTTATGGAGGTTTTTGACACTTCTCCCTTTACTTTTTCCGTCTGTTCTCAACTGGGTTTCTTCAGTTTTTGTTGTTTTGAAGGCCTTCTCTTCTAACCAAATTTAGCCATAGATACATGCCTTAGGAGTAGTGAAAAGGGTTTTTTTTTTTCCTTTCTTTTTTTTTTGTTTATTTTTATTTGATTCCTATATTGGTTAGTTCTATGGCTACTATTAAGAAACCCCGTATGAAAGATGCGGCAGCACGTCGCCGTTTTCTTTTAGTAGTTTCAGTCACTTTGTTAGGGGTTTTTCTGCTAATTTTTGTCCTGGGAACAAATTCAAGATCCAAGTTTTTTCTTTCGGATGAATTAGGTGACGATTTGAGCTATAGTTATAATTACTCATACATTAACAATAAACTTAGCCTTCCAAAGCAAAGTGAATTGTCCATTCAATTGGAGAAGCTAAACCAGATGCCCCCTAGGAATAGAGATCTATATCCAAGGTTGTCCTTAGATCATATTACAATTGTTCTTTATGTACACAATCGGCCACAATATCTCAAAGTAGTTGTTGAGAGCTTGTCGCATGTGGTTGGAATAAGTGAAACTTTGCTTATAGTTAGCCATGATGGGTATTTTGAAGAGATGAATAAGATTGTTAAGAACATCAGATTTTGCCAAGTGAAGCAGATTTTTGCTCCTTACTCTCCTCATCTGTTTCCCAATAGCTTTCCGGGGATCTCGGTTGGGGATTGTAAGGATAAGGAGGATGGGGCAAAGAAACATTGTCAAGGGTCACCAGATCAGTATGGAAACCATAGGTCGCCGAAGATCGTATCGCTGAAGCATCATTGGTGGTGGATGATGAACACTGTGTGGGATGGATTGCAGGAGACACGAGACCACTCGGGTCATGTTCTTTTCATAGAGGAAGATCACTATATTTATCCCAACGCATATCGGAACTTGCAGAGGCTTATAACACTGAAGCCTCAAAAATGCCCTAATTGCTATGCTGTGAATTTAGCACCTTGTGATGTGAATTCGAGAGGAGAGGGGTGGGATTGTTTGATTGCCGAGAGAATGGGAAACGTTGGCTATGCTTTTAACCGGACTGTTTGGAGAAAAATCCACAAGAAGGCAGGAGAATTCTGTTACTTTGATGATTACAATTGGGATATAACAATGTGGACAAAGGTCTATCCCTCATTTGGTGGGCCTGTTTGCACGCTGCGAGGGCCTAGAACAAGTGCAGTTCACTTTGGCAAGTGCGGTTTGCATCAGGGCCAGGGGGATAACAATGCTTGCGTTGACAACGGTGTGGTACGTTTTGAAGTGGATAATCTAGACAAGGTTGCCAACATCAAACCGGAATGGGATGTGCGATTCACAGAGCACCAGCCAGGTTATAAAGCTGGATTCAAGGGTTGGGGAGGCTGGGGAGATGAAAGGGATAGACAATTGTGCTTGAATTTCGCTCGCATGTATCACCTTAAAGACATTGCTTCTTCATCATGAAAAGTTGAGACAACAGTTTTTCCTATTATGTCATATAGCTGCCATAAGTGATGAGCCGTAGATTAGTTTGCTGGATATTTAAACATAACACATTAAGCTTTGATTTACTTGTAATGTTTCTTACATTTTTTCTTCAAAATATAAGCTCAAAGAAAGCAGAATTTTCTCTTACTTGGAGGCGACTTATGTCTTTTTGATATCTCCTCTGGCAACATCCGGTTAAAAAACTTAAGATACGACAACCACATTGGTTGATATTTTGGTTTTCTGTTATATTCTAGTTTTTTGTTAAATTTTTCTTTGCAATGTTTAGCTGCTTTGTAATATATTTGGATCTGCGTTTAAGGGCGTGCTTGTGCATTCATTCAAGTACAGGATTGGATTGCTTTTGTTATTTGTTGACGGATGTGGAAAATGTTTGAATGTCTCTTGGAAGTCGTTACTCTGTTTTTTTGTTATATGCTTAAAAGTACTCGTCTTGTGAGCAGGATTAAGATTGCTTAAAATTTGATAGATTTTATGAATTTTCACGCAATTCACGTACAATCAACACTAAGATACTGAATTATATGAGTTTATTGAGAATTATGGTTTAACAGAATCTGTTCACCTTCTAAACAACCACCTGTCTTTCTCATCTTTGTTTTCATGAGTATATTACACTTCATATGCTGAGTTCAATGTTATTAATCATGAAGCATCAAGTACTGAAGTTTTGTCGAATTTTTTTTTTCTAACTAACTGTTTTTTAAAGCTTTTTAGTGCTTATAAAAGTTAGTTATCTTCTAATGTGGGAGTTTTCTTCACTGATAAAACAAGTTTCTACAAAAAAATAAAACTAATAAATAAATAGAAGAGCCAGGAGAAGATTTATTCAATTTTTATAGAGGAATCGGCGATTCAGATTCCCACTCGTGGAATATGTAAATAAATTGGGGAAAGGAAAAAAGTGATGAATGTAGTATTATTGAAAATCAAGAGGTGAAAAAAAAAAAATCAAAGGTGATTTAACATTTTCAAGAAAAATTCGAGCGGTTCTAAGTCCTGAAGCAAAGTTTTGTATTATTATGACTGATAACTCTTAAACTTTAGGGTCATTTTCAATATTCCTTTTGAATTTTAAAAACTCTCATTTTGTCCGCTTGAATTTTGAATTGTTTCCAATTAACTCCTTTTGTTGCAATTTCTATTAAAAACATATAGAAAAAAAGAGAATAATGCAGTCACGTGATCTTTCTGTTTGGATTTTCATTAAAAAGAAACAAATAAAAACCACATAATCACACTTAATCTCCTCTTTTTCTGTCTAATTTTAATATAAATTATAACAAAATGGGTTAAGTGAGAACAATTCAAAGTTCATGAGGTAAAGTGAGAGTTTTTAAAATTTAGGAACAAACTGAGAATGACATTCAGAGTACCCTTGAGAATAATCCCAAAGTTTTTAATACAATTCGACGTTTTATTTAGAATAAAAGTTTATCATTGGCTTCTTATATAAAAGGTTTATTTACTTTCACAAGATTATTTTTTTTTTAGAATACTTTCATAAGATGATTGTATGATTATTAGCGAAGAGATAAATGATCCAATCCTTATGTATATGAAATAGGATTAATTTCAAAAATTCCCCTTGAATTATGATTCAAGTAACACTTTGCCTTCTGAATTTCAAAACGTAACATCCAATCTCCCAAATTTTGTTCTGTTAACAATTTTACCCCTTTCATTACTCTGAGTGACGAAATTTGCCACGTGTCCATTATTTAGTGAGATTTAATAGTAAAATTACGTTTATACCCATCTTCGTTTAGAATAACTATTCCTCTATGTTCCATGTATCAACAAAGATCACCACTATCTTTCCCAAAAACCAATTCTCCTTTCCTGACCTCATTCATCATCTGAATAGACCTATGAAAGGATTATGTTCTTCTATTTTTCTTCATCCTTCTTTAATTACTTTTTTTAAACAATATTTATAGGGTTATGAGATGTTTGAGTTTTTCTTTAGATAGGATATAAAGTTAGGCTTTGTTCCTTTCGCCGATTCGAGTTTAGAATTCGAGTTTTGCTACAGTAAAAAAACTCTCAGAAATAATCACATCTAACTTTTTTGTTACAGTAAAAAGTTCTCACACAAAATCACATCTCAACTCAAATTATAAACTCAAATAAGCGAAGTGAACGGGCCCTTAGATGATCTAGAAACCTGCAATTTTGTCCTTGTTGACAGATGTGAATTTGGTGCTTGGTGTTGGTATTACAGCACTTTCAGAAGAAGCGGGTTTCAAAGTTACTGCCTTGGACTTGAATGTTTTTGGAATTCATTCTTCTGATTTGAATAGCATTACAATCCTTTCACAATATCAATATGTGAAGCCCCTTACTGATTTTTGTTTTTTTGAAAATCATGCTGAGAGAGAGAAGGTAGTTGAAAGTGCAATACATGAGTAGGCCATGACAGTTCAAACTTGCTGTGTCAATAGGATTAAATTCACTTATATTGCCCTATGTTGAGCCATTGGAAGTGATTTACAGAAGAATTTACAATGAAGAAGGATTTTGCTTCTCGGACCTTTTTTTTGGGGGGAAAACTTGAAACCCTAATCCACTTAGATTAATCCCTTCTTCATTTTCGCATTTGAGTTTTTAATCCCTTCTTTATTTTTGCATTTGAGTTTTTTAATCCTTTTTTAATAACTTGGGCTTTTTACAGGACATTTTACGATATTACTCTCTTCGGATGAGTTAAATAATGGACACGTGGTGAATTCCGTTACTCAGAGTAACGGAGGGGGTAAAATTGTTAACGGAACAAAATTCAAGATGATTAGATGTTACGTTTTGAAATTCATGAGGTAAGGTGTTATAGGGATCATAATTCATGAGAAATTTTTGAAATTAATCCTATGAAATAATATGCCAAAGATAACATTATCTAAACTAATCGTTCGCAATCAGTAAACAATTTTTATCGCTTCGTTTCATTAGATTGTAACATGGTGCAATGAAGTAAATGAATTTAAGTATAGACATTGATGTATTTGGGATACATCATAATGAACCATTGTAGAATAAGAATTTATTCCGTACTATTCTGATTAATCAATCAATTTCTTATTATTATTTTTATTATTATTTTTTTTTTATAATTGAGTCAATTTCTTATTAATGGTTGGTTTGGAAAATAAGTTTGTAGCGAAATATGGATTTCAAGAATTTTTGATAGAAAAATTTGCATCCCATAACGCTATATAACATAATTATGCAATAATCATATTACCCGTTGGCAAATAATTTTTAAGGTCTCATTTATTTTATCGATTTGAGTTTATAATTTGAATATTTTTACCGTAAAAAACTCTAAAAAACAGTCACATTTAACTTTTTGCTACAATAAAAAATTAATATAAAGTCACATATGAACTTAAATTAAAAACTCAAATCAGCGAACTAAACGGATCCTTAACATCAACGTCGTTAAATCATCATCCTCTAATCTCAAATATGTACTTAAAGCTTTCTTTAGGCATGAAATGTCTTATTTTGTCGTTTTAGGATAAAAACATTTTTTTTTTTCAAAAAAAAAAGGTGAAGAAATTAAATGAAATATCACTAACCATCACTATTTTCAAGAAGATGTAAAAAAATAAAAAAGGGAAACGAAAACTAGTTGTTGTTTAAAGTAGTAAAAACTAATCAATCATTCAAAAAACCATCGATTGAAATTAGAACGATGACTGCAAATCCTTTCAATACCCAGAAAAAAAAAAAAAAGATTAGTGTTACAAGAATAGTCTAATAGTAAATTTATACCTCACACTCTTTTGAAGTGTGTAAAGTTCAAATCGATCTCTAAATTAAAAAAAAAAAAACAAAGCATAAAAGAAGATACTATTAACATAGAAAGTATTTCAAAAAAATAAAAATAAAAAATAAAAGAAAAGAGAAGAAAAGCGCAAAAAAAAAAAAAGGTTCTAAATCTTGTGGAGTAAAGAACTCTCTAACACTATTGGCGGCAATACGGGTCACGACACGACAACACGAATCGAAATCGACACGAAAATTACGGGTTAGGGTTGAGAAAAATAGGGTGCGGGTCGGAATCAGGTCGACTCGAAATTGACACGAACAAAACGGGTCGTTTTCGGGTTGAACCCGTGTGACCCGAAACCCACAATTCAATTTCGTGTCAATTTTGGGTTCAAACCCGAAACTGACCCGTAGAGAAAAAAAAAAAAAATATATATATATATAAAACATATTACAGAATACATATACTAAACCTAAACAACAATACATCTTCATTCTTCTGAATTGGAAGCCCGACCATGCCCTAGTTTCACACCCTCTTTCTTCTTCTTCTTCTTCTTCTTCTCTTGAAATAGCGACTCTGGTTCGCTCAAGTTTCATTCTTTGCCTTCAAATTTTCCTCTCTGCCCTCACATCTCGACAACCCCCTCATCTCTCAGCTGCCACCTGCCTTCAAATTTCCACAGTGAAGTTTCAGATTTGGAGCAACTCTCTCTCAAAATAGCAACAAGGTAAGTTATGTTCTTCTATTTTTTTCTTTTGTTTTGTTTTTCTTCTTGCTGCCATTAGAAATTATTCGGTGCACACACATTGAAAACTGAATGACTTTTTTTTTTCCTATTTTTTCCGTATGAGTTTGAAATCTGAATACGGTTTCTATTTGATGTATTATATACATTAAGATAGAAAATTGAATGTTTTGAAAAAAAAAGAAAAATTATTGTAATTACCTGCCAAGTCTTTATTCTCACTCCATTAGTGGTTCTTGAATTTAGCCATCATCCCGCTGGCTAAAGTAAAGATAAGGGGCGATGTTGCTTTATTCTTTTGAGCTTCCAATGTTTCGGATTATTATAACTAATTAATTATCAGTTTCTTAAAATGAGAAATCACTTTTTACAAGTAGCTAACATTATATAAGGCCAGGGAAGTTAGGGATAAGTAAGTAAGAAGATTTGGAGGGGACAAAAAATGCGTTTTCTTTTCTTTTAATTTATGATTATAAGGTACAATACAAACTTATGTTTGTAGTATTATTTGTTATGGTGTAATATATGCAAAGTCAACTATGATATTGCAGAAGGACTTGTACTATCCACGTCCAATGATACAAGACATAGTATGAGGTTGTCTTCACAACATAGGGAAACCTATTTTGAAGAGATGGCCTTTCTCTAAGCTAAGGCAAATTAATATATTGATATATAGAAACTATATATATATCTTGATATATAGAAACTAAGTGATCACATACCTAATTCCAGGGCCACAAGTTCTAAAACTTTGATCTAGAATGTGAGAATATGAGAATATGGTTATTTTTCTATACATATGGAATGTGAGAATATAGTTTTTGCA